CACCCCGCCATCCTGCGCCGCCGCGGGCCGCCGAGCAGCTATTCTCCTCTGCCCCTCATTACTCACAGCCTACAAGCAACACCATATGCTGCTTCTGATCACACAGCCCGCTACATGGGCACCCCTAATTGACGAGACCTGCTCGAAATCACGCAGAAAGGTTGCCTGCTGAGACTGCAGGAGTTGGCAAATCACGGCTAATAATCCTTTTAGGAACATCGCGGGCATCCGAGTTTGCCATAGCTTTATTTTTATAAAGTATGCGTTGACAGTATAAAGGACAGCTCGGTCTCTTTTTAAACAGAGGACTGCTCCGCATAATGATCTTCAAGACGGCAGATCACGCATAATAGGAACGTACATTGATGGAGTTTTTAATTTTTTTTTTTTTTTTTAAGACCTCAGGTGTTACAGCTTTGGCTTATTCCCCTTTTTTAGCCCTAAGCTATTCGGAGATACGGAATATTTTTTAAGAAACTATTGCAAGCTGTACTAAACTGAAAATTACTGCTATGGACTTTAGAAACATATTGGTTCATATATCACAGCGGGGGGTATCTTCCCCAGTCCATATCACTGCCAGAATACATATTTACCTTTTAAAAGTAGAATTAATACTAATGCGTCACAGGCTTGTTCAGACAAAACAAAAGAAACAAACAAAAAATCCAGACATATACCCACTCCTTGTTTGTGGGACACGATAGACAGATGGACAGGCAAACAGACTGACAGATTCGAGATATAGCTGGAGAAAACATAGGACCACATGGACTAGATGATCTAGAGGCACCTTCCAACCTCAACCATTCTGAGATTATCGTATTTCTTACGTATAGACACATTTAAACGAGAGAAAGTAGTGAATGTTGTTATTAGGTCAGAAGAAAGCTCTCAGTATTTTTTCTTTCATGCAGACAATATCTCAATTGGGTTGACCTAAATAGGAGATTCGTGAAGCATTTTTTCAAATTTTTTTTCTACTCCTTATAAAAGCATTAGACTGAGAATACAGGCGAACTTTATTCCGACCTTCTTAATTTTGTATGCTGTTTGTTTTTCTTAGAAGCCCCAAGATGGTCGCTTTAAATCCTAATTCTACGTAAAAGCAAGGCATACTCAAAATAGACCGGCACGCTTAAGTCTGATATTGCTAGACAGGCGGGACTGTTGCTCCTCTGGTGGAAGTCAATGTTTATCATTGCCTGACTGTCGACGAGAATCAGACCCACGCTCTGATCCGATGTTTGCATTGTTAAGGGGAATCTCAGTATGTCTGAGCATAAAACTTCTATTAAAAATTTCCGAGGTCGATTAACACCCTCGAACTGTGCTAATGATCTGCAGAGCGAGACACACCACATTCATAATGCAATTCAGCGAGCGTGGCTTATTTATTTAGGTTGTGTGTGCGCTAAGCACGGTACCTGTAAAGCGTACCTTTGCTCGATGCTTGAACTAAGGCTTTAGGACTTTGCATAGACTTATGTAAATATTTACCCATATATTAACTTCCCCCATAGTATAGCTATAAATATGGGTGAATCGTCCCCTCTTTTGCAATGCACGTGCTTCGCAGGGGATGCAGATCCCACAGACTGGGGAAAAAGAAACTCATGTTTGCTTTAGTAAAATAGGCAGCAGAGCTCAGTGTCTTGAAGTGTTGACAAAAGCACTGTAAGTCCCCAACCAAACCTGTCATATGAACTGAAGTGAAAGTATTTACGACAGACAAAAGTGACAGTGGAGAGCACCCTGCCTCCGAGCACACGACCCTATGCAATTTACTTGAAAGCAAGCGATACCTGGATTGGAATGGAAATACAGGCGAATAGTCATTCCCACCTACCTTCCGGAAAAACCACCCTCATTTTTAAATAGCTGGTGGTGAGTCTGATTATGGATGCTTTGTCCAGCTGAGAGGTGATAGCTGAGGGCAAGGGCAGTAATTTAGCCAGTTCATAAAATTCACTGTTTTCTTTCTCCCGCCTAGTCCGGGCAGCATTTTTGGACTTCTCTTTCATCGTGTTCTTTTCCCCCCTTCCTTCCTATAATTTAAGCTCCACAGATTCATCCAAAGGTGGAAGGGAAACTTTCAGCTGCAATTCATCTCTCCGAAGCATCAGGCAGTGACTTTGAGCGCAGCCATTACTCTGCGAAATCGGTCTGCTGCGTAAAAATTGAAGCAAGTATTGAGGACCAGAGAGATGTTCTTAAGAAATATTCGCTGAAAAAAAGAGTCAATCGGATGGGAAAGGCATTTATCCAGTGCAGCGCAGAGACTCCAGGCAACTGCAGGAAAAAAAAAAAAAAAGCTAAAAGCCTGAGGCACCACACAGCAACCAAATGAGGTATTTCTGGCCTTTTTTCCTACTCGTCGCAGTTAGCATAGCTCCTCTGAACAGGGTCATAGTAATCCCGTGTCTTCCCGTGATCCGCTGTCAATCCGAGGCCTGAAACGCCCGGCCTTAGGCTGCCTCCGAGGGCGCTGGGTGACTTCCCGGGAGCCTCTGTGAAGACAACAGCAGTCCTGGGATGAGAGATCCGTTACACGGTGCTGCCGCGGAGCCCTGCTCATTACAGCCTCGAGAAATAATAATGAACAAATAGCCTCCGACGGGTGTAGTATTTTCTCCCACCAGAGGGGAGGGGAAAAAAAAAAAGGTATGTTTTCACATCTAGCGCGCCCAAGGAGCAACCTTCGCCGCGCTCTCCTCCCACACCCCTCACCTTTCCCAGCCCAGGTGTGCACTTCGTGACCAAAACGAAAACAAACCGCAGACAAAACGCCGGCGGCAGCAGCCACAGGCGGGGGGGT